TCCTCCCTTTCTGATTTGAACCCACTCCAGTTGCTTTTAATCTCCTTCCTCCAAAAGTGGTTTTTATCGGGATCACCAGTGACTTCATGTTGTTAAATCCCACGCTCAGTTTTTATTTGACCTTTCAGCAGTATCCGGCATTGTCGGTTCTTCTTCCTTAAAATACTGTTGTCATTTAGTGTTCAGAATGCCGTGCTCTCTGGATTTTCTGCCTTATTGGCCACTGGTAGGGCTCAACTTCTTTTTGTAATTTGTCTTGTCTCCCATCCTATTATCTTAACCCCCAGAGTATCTCAGGGCTCATTGCTTGCATCTGTTGTATTTGTACTCTGTAGTGTTCTCATCTAGTTTAGTGTAAGGCATTCTCGTATGGCGATGGTTTCCTCTTTATATCTCTAGCCTGCACTTCTCCCCTAAGCATCGCCCCCTATATCGTACTGACTCCCTGACATCTCTAAGGTACACATCTCTACAGATATGTCCAGCTAATCATTTCCCAAACCAAGCTCCTAATCTCACCTGAACCTATTCCTTCCATAGTTTCCCTGTTTCGGTTAATAGCTTCTCCTAGTTTCTCACATAAGGGGTCAGCAAACTTCTCAGCAGCTGTAGACAATACAGAAGCCAATGGGCATGTCTCCCTTTCTTACGCTTTTATCAATATCTCTGTTTCCCATCCTCTGAGGGCAAATCCTGTTGGCTCTGTTTACACAGTAGACTTCAGATCTGTCATTCTTCATTACCACAGTCAGAGCCTAGTCAGAGCCATCATTATAGGTCACTTGGACCACTGCAGCTGCCTCCTCACTGTTTTTCTTGCTAACGTTCTTGGTGTCTTTCAGGCCCTTCTCCAGATTGCTTTCTTGCTTTGGCCCTTAGTATTTTCTTATAAATTTTAGAATCAGCTTGTCAGTTTCCACAAAACATCTCCTAGGATATTGGTTTTATCCAGTTGCTTGGGTCTATCAATTTGGGGGATAATCAACATTTTTATACTGTGAAATTTTCTCTTTTTTAAGATTTTAAAATTTGTTTATTTAGAAAGAGGGAGTGAGGGAGAGAGAGCACATGTGCACAAGTGGGAGAGGAGCAGAGGGAGAGAGTCTCAAGCAGACTCCTTGCTGAATGCAGAGCCCAACACATCCCTTGATCCCGTGACCCATGAGATCATGATCTGAGCCAAAACTAAGATTCAGACACTCAACCAATTGTGCCACCCAGTGCCCTTATATCATGGAATTTTCTAATCCAGGAACATGGCATTTTCTTGGATTCTTTCATATTTTCTTTAATGTGTTTCAGTATAATTTTGTGGTTTTGAGTATTGAAGTCTTGCAAATTTTTTCAAGTATTCTTTCTTTTTTAAAGATTTTATTTATTTATTTGACAGAGAAATAGAGAACACAAGTAGGCAGAGGCAGGCAGAGGGAGAAGCAGACTCTCTGCTGAGCAGGGAGCCCGATGGGAGGCTCGATTCCAGGACCCTGGGATCCTGACCTGAGCCAAAGGCAGCTGGTTAACCAATTGAGCCAACCAGGCTCCTCAAGTCTGTTAAATTTTATTATATGCTTTTTTTTCTAGTGTTTTCCTGATGTTTTTTTGTTATCAAAAATCTCAGATATACGGAAAAGTTGAAAAAATTTTACCGTGAGCGTTCGTATACCAACCAACTAGATTCTGTAATTAACATTTTACTGCACTTGCTTTATCACCTATGTAATGTTGTGATTCATAAGAAATATACATTTGGTCATTCAGACAACCAAAATACACCTGTCATCTATATTTGGTCTTGTCCACAGTTCCTGGCTCATAGCCCCAAAATCCTTGAAATTTTCTAAATGTTGAGAGTGATAACACTGTCTTTTGTGATGTGAACAATGACTTTTGGAAGCATCCAAGGATGAGGGCTGGTTGTCAGGAGAACCATCCATGTGATTGGAGGGTTGGAACTTGCAGTCACACCCCCTGACATAAGGCAGTGGGAAAAGGGCAGGAGGTTGAATCAGTTGTCTGTGGCCAGTGATTTAGTCAGTCATGGCTGTGCAGTGAAGCCTCCATAAAAACCCATAAGGACAGTGTTCAGACAGCTTCCAGTTTGGTGAACAAGCGGAGATTGGGGGAGAGTGGTGCACCTGGAGAGTGCATAGAAGCCCCCTGTCCTTTCCCTGTACCTGGCCCTCCACATCTCTTCTGTCTGGCTGTTCCTGTGTTCCTTTTATGGTAAACTGCTAATCTAGAAAGTAAAATGTTTCTCTGAGTTCTTTGAGCTACTCTAACAAATTAATTGAACCTGAGGAGGAAATTGCGGGAACCTCTGATTGATAGCCTGTCGATCAGAAGTACAGGTGACAATCTGGACTTGTGACTGGCATCTGAAATGGGAGAGGGGAAGGGAAGTCTTGTGGGACTGAACCGTTAAGTGGTGGAATCCGATGCTGTCTGCAGGTAGATAATGTCAGAATCGAGCTGAGTTGTAGGACCTGAGCTGTGTCCCAAGAAATTGTTTATTTTTGTTATGAGGAAACCATCACCCTGCCATGTTGGATATTGAGTCTCAGAATATCAAAAGAACCTGCGTCTCCATTTAGGCATCCCTTTCTCCCTTGTTTTTTGATGTATTTTGAAATAAATTGCAAAATTAGCAAACTGCTCCCAAAATACTCCAGCATGTTTATCATTAACTTGGGGTTTAATATTTATTTATGGTGCTTTTATTTATTTTGATGTAAAATTTATATACAATGAAATCTTAATGAACTATTAAGTAGTTAACGAATCTTAATGATTTTAAGATTTTTAAGATTTTTAAGATTAACAAATCTTAATGAACCATTTAGTAGTTTTGACATATGTATGCTCACCTGTGTTATATCCATTGACATGACAATGTGATTTTTATTCTTGATTCTGTCAATCTAGTGAGTTACATTAGTTGATTTTTGAATGGCAGAATACGTTTAATGAGTTTTTAAGTTTCTTCTGCAAAGGCGAAACTAGATTCACCAACCCTTGGATATATAATGTCTTGTGAAAATGATCATAATAAATTCATATGCATTTTTTCCATATCACTGAGTGAAAAGTCCCCTGAAACAAGAATATGCAGTTACAGTGAACACTGGCATTTAGGGATGTGGTTGTGGACCTCACATCAGAGGAGTGGCAGCTACTAGGTGCTCTTCAGAAGAACCTACACTGGGATGTAATGGTGGAAAATTACAGCAACCTCGTGTCTGTGAGTAAGGACCCTTGGTGAGCCCCCCAGCCTATTGCCATTCCTTTCTTAACTGCTGGAATTTATAAGTTTTCTGAATGTTTGACATCTTTGAACTTTGGATTTATAGATGGTAAAACATTTGTGTCTGTCTGAACCTGGAGAAATGTTCTTGCTCTCACCCCCCAAATGAAAGTTTCGCACTTTGCTGAAGCGCTAACTTGAAACAGTCCCTTCCAACTTCTTCAGAGGTTCCAAAGACCAAGCTCTTGGTGGCATGTTTATCCACATGCAGATTGTTAGGCTTCCAGACTTGCAGCCGTCCTCCATCTGGGGCAGGGAGTCACGGGTTGTAGAGGGAAGAATGAGCAGTGAGGGCCATCTCAGTGACTGCGTAAAAGCCAGGCCCATGAGTGAAAGCCTAAGGAGCTAGAACCTTTGATACATTATTTTGAGAGCACAACTTAAAAAACCCTTAAACTTTTGAGGCACCTGGCTGGCTCAGTCAGTAGAGCATGCAGCTCTTGATCTTGGAGTCATGAGTTTAAGCCCTACTTTGGGGGAAGAGATTACTAAAAAATAAATAAACTTAAAAAAAAAAAAAAATAAGGGACGCCTGGGTGGCTCAGTTGGTTAAGCAGCTGCCTTCGGCTCGGGTCGTGATCCCAGTGTCCTGGGATCGAGTTCCGCATCGGGCTCCTTGCTCAGCGGGGAGCCTGCTTCTCCCTCTGCCTCTGCCTGCCATTCTTGCTCTGTCTGCCTGTGCTTGCTCTCTCTCCCTCTCTCTCTCTCTCTGACAAATAAATAAATAAAATCTTTAAAAAAAAATAAATAAATAAAAGGAGATGGGCCCTTTATGTCTTTGTACTCTGTCAGATCTGGAACTTTACTAGCACCAGCTTTCTTGGTTAGACTCTCTTCGTAGCATCTTTACTCTTCTTCACCAGCACTGCTCACTTTGCCTTCCTCCTCCTTAGCATCTCACCTATGGTCAGAATTAAGTTTCCAGTTACACATGGACTTTTCCTTTAACCATGACTTTTATGTCCCTCTGCTTCCCTTCTATTTTCTCTTCTCCTTCTAGTGGATGCCTCTAACTTGTATTCAATTCAGAACACCATTTCTTTCCTTGATCCCTTGACCCTTGTTATGAAAATTGGCCCCTTCTAGTACCTAATCACATACACATTCATTGGTCTCATTCCTAGAAGATACCTGGCACGTTGATGATGGTATAGACTGGCTCCAGGAAAACTCTTGACAGGCTGGATCCCCCAGAGAGGCACCAGGAATGTGATGTATTCAACAAAATATTTCACCTGAGAAAAGATTTTGAGCAGTTTGATTCAAATGGAAAAACTTGGAAACATAATTTAGATTTACTTTTCCAGAACAGAAATTATTTAAGTAAAAAAGCTGAAAAGTTGTTTTTCCACCCTATGCACAAAAACACTTATTCTGGAATTGCTGTGAATATGATTGTGGAGAAGCTGTCAGTAAGACGTTGTGCCTGAATATGAGTCATACAGAAATGAGATTTTATAAATGTAGTGAGTGTCAAAGGTCTTTTAACCATATGTCACAACTTCTTCTACACCAAAAAGTCACCCAGGAGAGAATCCCTGTGGATACAGCGAATGCAGAAAATTTTTCTCCCAGAAATCACAGTTCATGGTACGCCAGAGAATTCACACAGGACAGAAAATATGTGAATGCAATGAGTGTCTGAAAGCTTTTATTCCAAAGACAGAGCTTATTTTACTTTGAAGCACTCACACAAGAGAGAAGCCTTATGAGTGCAGAGAATGTCCACAGGCTTTTAGTAGTAAGTCTCAGCTCACTCTGCACCAGAAGTGCCACACAGGAGAGAAACCCTATGAATGCAGTGAGTGTGGGAAAGCCTCTCCCGACAAATCTGCTAGTTTTCCATCAGAGACCTCATGCCAGAGAGAAACCCTATGAATGTAATGAATGTCGGAAAACCTTCATTAGTAAGCTGCATCTCATTAAGTGTGAGAGAATTCATACAGTTGAGAGATCCTATGGATGTAAGGAATGTGGAAGAACTTTCTCTCTGAAGTTTAGTCTCACTTTTACATCGTAAGATGCATACAGGAGAAAAGCCCAGTGAATGAAGTCAGTGTCAAAAGCTTTCATCCAAGGTCACAGCTCCTTGAACACCAAAGAACTCACCCTAGAGAAAAACCCCTTTCATGTAAAGAATGTTGGAAGGCTTTCATCCAGAGGTCAGAGCTTGCTTTGCAACAGAAAATTCACAGGGGGAGAAACCTTATAAGTGCAGTTGATGTCAGAAAGCTTTCGTGCGGCAGTCAGAATGCATTTTACATCAGAAAGTTCATACTGCGGGGAAGCCTTTCTAATATGGTAAATTGGAAAGTCTTTAGCACCAAATCACCACTCATTATACACCAGAGAGAGCACACAGAAGAGAAACCCTATGGATGCAATGGGTTGTGGGAAATTCTTCTCACAGAAGTCACAACTCCCCATACATTAAAGAACCCATACAGGAGAAAAACCATGTGAATGCAATTGACAGAAAACCTTTAGCTGTAAGTCCCCACTCATCATACACCATACAGGAGAAAAGCCCTATGTATGTAGTAAATGTGGGAGACTGGGGTGCTGGGGTAGCTCAGCTGTTAAACGCCTGCCTTCGGCTTAGGTCATGATCCTGGGGTCCTGGGATCAAACCCCACGTGGAGCTCCCTTCTCAGTAGGAAGCCTGCTTCTCCGTCTCCCACTCCCGCCGCTTATGTTCCCTCTCTTGCTGTCTCTGTCAAATAAGTAAAATCTTTTAAGAAAAAATGAGAAAGCTTTCTCCTGGAATTCTTGTCTAAGTGACATCAAAGAACACATACAGGAGAGAGACCCTACAATGCAGTGAATGTGTGAAATCCTCTGGTGTCGAGTCACACTTCAGTAGACACCAAAGATGTCGTATAGTAGAGAAATCAGATGGATAAGATGGATATGGTGAAAATAAAAAAGCGTATAAGGAGGTCATTCCAACATGAGATAGCAGGCATATGGGAGACAGTTCTTATGGTGATTAAAGAAAAGCTTCCACTCAGATGTTTAATTTCACTGAGAATTAAAATGAGAAATCTAGGGGCGCCTGGGTGGCTCAGTCATTGAGCATCTGCCTTCGGCCCAAGTCGTGGTCCCAGGGTCCTGGGATCGAGCCCAACATCGGGCTCCCTGCTTGGTAGGAAGACTGCTTCACCCTCTCCCACTCCCCCTGCTTGTGTTTCCTCTCTCCCTGTGTCTCTCTCTACCAAATTATAAATAAAATCTTTTAAAAAATAAAATTAAAATTAAATGAGAAATCTAGTGCCGAAGATAAATACAACAAAAATCTTCAGTAATAACTTGCAGCGCAATCCTTCACCAGAAGAAGGCATACACAAGAGAAACTGAATTCCGCAAATGTGCAAAAGTTTTCACACAGAAACCCATAAGGGAAAGAAATGATATACAGGGAAGGAATGTAGCAATATTTTCGTTGAGAAATTTCAGATGTATCAAAGAATTTACTCCAGAGTGAATCATAGAAGAGTAATAAATGTGAGAAAATTCTTTTATTGAAAGCCAGAAGCATGTGTTATGGGGCGCCTGGGTGGCTCAGTGGGTTAAAGCCTCTGCCTTCAGCTCAGGTCATGGTCCCAGGGTCCTGGGATCCAGCCCCGCGTCGGGCTCTCTGTTCAGCAGGGAGCCTGCTTCCTCCTCTCTCTCTAGCTGCCTCTCTGCCTACTTGTGATCTCTCTCTGTCAAATAAATAAAATCTTTAAAAAAAAAAAAAAGAAGCATGTGATATTAGAGAATTTACACTAAAAAATAACTCTGATTGCCGTAAAATGCAAGATTAGTTACAAAGAACTTAAAAAAAAATTTTTTTAGAGAGAGAGAGAATGGGCGAGTGATCAGAGGGAGGGGCAGAGGGAGAGTGAAAGAGAATCCTAAGTAGGTTCCACGCCCAGCTCAGAGCCCAACTTGGGAATGGGGGCTCGGTCTTACAGCCCTGAGGTCATGACCTGAGCCAGAATCAAGAGTCAGCTGCTTCACCGACTGAGCCACTCAGGTGCTCCTTACAAAGGACTTTTCAGGCAGATTCCCCAGATGTTAATATTTTACTGCATTTGCTTTATTCTCTCTCTCCATGTATATACACGAACATATTATTTTTCTGAGCCACTGAGAGTAAGTTTCAGACGTGATGCCTCTGCAGTGTGTAAATGCTAAGAACAAGGACATTCTCCACCATATCACAGTATAACTATTAAAATCAGGAACAATGATTCAGTACTGTTATCTGATTTACATCTGGCTGGCTCACTTGGTAGAGCACTCAACTCTTGATCTTGAGGTTGTGAGTTCAAGCCTCACATGGAGTATAGAGATTACTAAAAAATAAATAAACTTAAGAACAGTTACTTGGGACAATTTTTAAAATTACATTGGAGTGTTTATCAATAATAAAATTAGATTAGTTATTTTTTGTTTGTATTCTGTCTTAGAACTTTTGTACCCATCCTTGTTGATGTTGGTATTATTTTTTTTTAAAAAGAATTTATTGATTTATTTGACAGAGATCACAAGTAGGCAGAGAGGCAGGCAGAGAGAGAGAGGAGAAAGCAGGCTCCCCACTGAGCAGAGAGCCCGACGCGGGGCTCGATCCCAGGACCCTGAGATCATGACCTGAGCCAAAGGCAGAGGCTTTAACCCACTGAACCACCCAGGCGCCCCTGTTGGTATTATTTTTAATAATAATATTATTAATATATTTTATTAATATTAATAATAAACATTATTTATAATATAACAATATATTTTATTATAAATATAATATATAATATATTAAATAAAATATAATGATATATTTTATTAATATTAATATAAATATTAATATATTTAATAATATTATTATTTTAAATAATATTATTATCAAAACATTAGCATGGCTCCAGAAGTCAAAACTATACCCAAAAGTATACTCAGCAAAGTGATTTTTATGATTTTCAGGATGTAGACTTCCCATAAATAAGTCCAACGTTTGCATTTTGCATCACAACAGTGCAGTATCCTTATAACTGGAGTAATATGAATTACTGTCCTGTCTGCAACCTGTTTTCTTGGATGAGGGTAAATGAGGGTATAGAGGGGAATATATGACTCTTTCCCAGTATTTCTGAGAGTTGAAATTCCTATTTACTTATGCTTATTCATGAATATGGAGTAAGATAAGGATAGTTTGAGTTGCCTAGCTGGCTCAGTGAGTAAAGTGTGTGACTCTTGATCTCGGGGTCATGAGTTTAAGCCCCACACTGAGCATTGAACTTAATTAAAAAAGAAAAAAATAGGGGCGCCTCGGTAGCTCAGTGGGTTGAGGCCTCTGCCTTTGGCTCAGGTCATGATCCCAGGGTCCTGGGATCGAGCCCCGCATCAGGTTCTCTGCTCAGCAGGGAGCCTGCTTCCCTTCCTCTCTCTCTGTCTGCCTCTCTGCCTACTTGTGATCTCTGTATGTCAAATAAA